ACGTGACCGTCAACGTCCTGGTCCACAACGCGTTACAACCCGGGCTCAAGACCGCTACATCCGGGTCACACATCTGCGAGACAGATTCCGCCCAGCGACTCGAACAGGTGCAGCAGTCGTCGGAAGACAATGACCAGTATGTGCCAACACTGTAAGACGTCGTCTAAGAGAAGTAGGGCTCCGTGCACGACGACCTTACGTTGGAGCTATCCTCAGGGATCATCACCGTCAGTGGCGTTTGATATGGGCTCGAGGACACCAGACATGGAGAAGAGTAGACTGGCAAAGTGTACTCTTCAATGATGAGAGTGATGAGAGTCGCTTTCATCTTTATCACGCTGATGGCCGTCAACGTGTGTGGAGACGTCTTGGGGAACGTCTTGCAGACTGCTGCGTCTTCGAAACGAATAGATGGGGTGGGGGAAGTGTAATGGTGTGGGGAGGCTTCACATTTCATCACCGGACCGCCCTACACATTTGCAGGAGTAGCGTTAATGCTGTAGCCTACCGTGATTATGTCTTGCAACCAATTGTTGTTCCGATGTTTCGAGCGCACCCACAACTTCAGCACTTCCAACAGGATAATGCACGTCCGCATACCGCCCGTTTTAGTATGGACTACCTGGCTGCTAACAACATTAATGTCTTGGACTGGCCAGCCATGTCTCCGAACATGGCACCGATAGAACATGTCTGGGATGGGATTTGACGCCGTCTGTATCGGAGACCACAGATGCACACCATTGCTGCTTTAGAAGCTGCTCTTGTCCAAGATTGGAACAATTTGCCCCAGGCCTTCTTTCAAACATTGGTAAATTCCATGCGACGTCGCTGCACAGCGTGCGTAAGAGCCCGTGGAGGACACACGCGCTACTGACGTCTGTGTCGAACTTTTGGTTTTGACCCCTCTAACTTTGTACTGTTGATTACAAATTAAACATCCATAAGTGTACAAATGTGTTGTTATTGATGTGTTCCCATTTGAATATTGTTCACAATAAGAAGCAAAATAAATAAGATATGTTTACAGGATCATTTTGTTATACGAAAAACTAAGTGATGCGTTTTCCATGGCGCTCAGTATATTAACATAGACTTCATCGTCTCGGCTATACCATGGATCATATTAACATGGACTTAGTCGTCATGAAATGAAATGAAATGAAACGTTCTACTTTTCTGCTCCTAACCTGGGCTAATGAAGACGGGCATACGCCATACAGTGTGCTATGAGGGAAATTTTTTGCCCGGGCAGCGGCGATACCGCCTACTCTTATATCGAATTCTATCTGCCAAGGGATCTTTTACGTGCACGCCAATGTGTACACGGGACCTCGGGTTTTCGTCCAATCCGAACGACTAGACAGCTGTCCTTGTCAGGCCCTCCATCCTGCATCACTGACAAGGGGAAACCACGCCGGAAAATCTGGATGAACTTTCTCGGCCAATGCAGGGATGGAACACGCGACTTCCAGGTCAGCGAGCCAGCGTCTTACCCACTTAGCCACGTGATCCATGTATCATATTAACATAGACGTGATCATCATAGATATACCTTGAATAAGTTAACATAGACTTGATGTTCATAACTACCATGTATTTTTTATTAATGTCAGATTTCTTGGAGGATTCATTTGTCCGGCACTAATTAACCCGGGAGCCACGGTGACTCAGTGCTAAAAGATGTTGAGGGGGGGGGCGAATGGTTAACGCGTACGCATTGGATCATAAGGTCTGCCATTGGAGGAATGACATCTCTTTATCTAATCTTCCATAATATCCCTTTTTATAAGTATTAACACTAGAATACGATACGTTAAAGGACTAATCCCGATAATTTTTGGAAAAATAAAACTGCTTGAATTTGTGTTAAAATCCCTTAAAATCCTCTACCCAAGGGACAAGCAACTAACTCAATATTTGTGATATGTTTTCAAACAACTTAAACCTGTCAGTCTTCATCTGGAAATGGAAACTGGTGTATTATGCAGTGTCTGGATAAAACCAGACTTTTATTTTATAAAAAATAATGTGTAGGTGAAATTTACCATTCATTATCAAGTACAGCACATGGGTCGTTCACTGTATAGACCTCTCAAGGAACGGAAATCGATTATCAGGTCACCCAACGAAAAAATTGACTCGAAATCTTGAAAGGGTTACGTGTCCGGATAAGCATTTTTGATGTTCACGTCGAAACGACTCAATATTTTGAGCTGAAATTTTGAGACAAGGTAAATACACCATCCCTCTATATTTTGGCGCTTAAATTTCATACGTACTTGGACTTTTATTTTTGAGACTCTGTTCAAATTGGGAAAGTTCCTTTAAAGTTTAATACTGACACAAAATTAATATACAAACCATTTTTTTTATTCAAAATGAAATTAAAAGAATCTTCGTCGTGCGTGCAGTTTCTGTTCTTACACACAAGTAATATAGAATTTGGGTGTTTGTTGCATGGCAACCGTTTGTTGTATATTGTAGCTAAGAACAAGTAAAAGGGAATGTGGGGGTATCTTGCATGGCAACCGTTTGTTGTATATTGTAGTTAAGAACAAGTAATATCGAATGAAGTTTATAAAACATTCATTATCAACTAATGATATTTCAGTACAGATACAAATCATAAGGGATCACGTGGCTAAGTGGGTAAGACGCTGGCTCGTTTACCTGGAGGTCGGGTGTTCGATCCCTGCATATGCCGAGAAAGTTCATCCCGATTTTACGGCGTGGTTTCCCCTTGTCAGTGATGCAGGATTTAGGGCCTGACAAGGACAGCTGTCTAGTCATTCGGATGGGACGAAAAACCGAGGTCCCGTGTACACATTGGCGTGCACGTAAAAGATCCCTTGACAGATAGAATTCGATATAAGAGTAGGCCGTAGCGCCGCCGCCCGGGCAAAATTTCCCTCATAGCACACTGTATGGCGTATGCCGTCTTCATTAGCCCAGTTTAGGAGCAGAACAGTAGGACGTTAAACCCCATTTCATTTGATTTCATAAACTTTAAATTTGGATCTATAAATAAAACTTTATAAACCTTTTTGTTTTTGTTCCTTTATTCAAATCAAATGAAACCATATAAAATAAATGAGATTATAAATTATGCATATTACCCGGCCCCTAGTACACCAAACCTCTAGCTTCTATAAAACTTTATAGATAACTATAATGTCTTTTTGTTCAATCTGTCATAAATCAAGAACAAGGTACAGATATTAAGCATAAAATGTGTTATTTAAGATACACTGTGTAAGAACTAAATCGGTTTATAGCAAGGTTTTTATTTGACTTCAAATGTTATATAAATTATTCACATGCCAGGCCAATAATAAACTAGATAGACCATCGGGTTGTCGAGAATTGAATGGCTTGAAACACGATCGCCATTTAATAATTAAATCTAAACCTGATGAATGGCTCAGATTAATGTAATTTGAATAAGATCCCATTATCTATTTTCAGATTAACCAACCGTATAAATACACGACAAACGTACTGAATTATAAACGTACTAAATTATATGAAAATATAATAAAAATTATATAAAGCACTATTTAGGTGCTATAAACTGTAAACTTTAAAATTGATATTTTTTTAGTGCCGATGTATATATAATAAAGAATATTACTACAATTAACATATATTTATTATCAAGACTAATTATCATTAATAACTATCAACCGATGTATAGTCATTCGGATAGAACGAAATACCGAGGTCGGTCCCGTGTACACATGCTTGCACGTAAAAGATCCCTTGGCAGTTGGAATTCGATATAAGAATAGGCCGTGGCGCCGCTGTCCGGGCATAATTTCCCTCATAGCACACTGTATGGCGTATATCTGTCTTCATTAGCCCAGTTAGAGAGAGAGAGAGAGAAATGGGGTTTAACGTCCACTCGACACAAACTAGGTCATTTCGGGACTAACATATGTTTTAATCTTTTTATTTCAATAATTCGCTCTGCGTGTAGGGGTCTTTAGCAGTGGGAGGAAACCGGAGGACCCGGAAAGACCCCACGAGATTGGACAGGCGACCCTACTCCTTGTCACGTTCAACCGGGGAATCGAAACCCCGCCAGTTGACTCAATGACAGACGGTATGATACAGCGCGCGCGTGCTAACCATTCGGCCATCCAACCCCCCAGCCCATTTAGAAGCAGAACAGTAGGATGTGAAACCCCATTTAATTTCATATCATTTCGCTAACCAGGGCTCTGGGATTCGCTCCCGATGCTGGCCTTGAAGGTTGCCCTCTGGATTTTCCGGCGTAATCCCCCATGGCAAGGAGAGTGTCTAGTCTTTAGGATTGGACGAAAATCAGAATCCCGGTGTACGCATTGACGTGAACTTTATAGAAACCTTGGCAGTTGGAATTCGATATAAGAATGGACGCCAAAGCGCCTCTGTTTGGGCAAAAATTCCATCATAGCACACTATATATTGATAAAGAATTCTAGTCGAAACGTTGCCCGGTAATAAACCGTTAAAGTATTCCATAGTTACTCGTGAACATGCAAGTCAATATACGTATTTATGCATATTATAATGTTTTTCTGCGATATAATTTAGCCTGTCTAGTAATATTCACCATATGTTTGGTGCAATATAGCCCGGTTGGAGCTGAGGTGCCATAAAACCACTTTTCATTTCAATTAATTTATTGAAAGGCGACGCCCATATTACAAGCTTACGCAATACGTATAAATAGACTGGTTTTCCCGTTACTTAGTATAGAATAGACTACGTTATCCAGACATAAATAAACACCTACTGAACAGACAATTGTGGAGGATTCATTCAGATAGTTACAACACTATTTATTATATTGATATATTTAGGTTATCTTAAACACCAGGAATTTATTATATTAGTTTCAACAAGTCGGGGCTATATTCTTTATCGAGAATGGCTATTCATGAGTGTAGAAATATTATAATTATTTATCGTACTTGATCTAGCTCAACGCAAATAGTAGTGAGACAGGTTATACAAGACTAAAACTCGTCATTAATACACTATACATAGACTGTGTTTTTCCAATGGGTAATTTTTATAGAACCCCCTTGATCTAGTGTTATACAGTTCTGTTTGTCTTTAGTAAGGTTCTAAGGGAACTCTAGTAGAAGAAAGTTGTCATAGAATAATAAGGATAAGAAGAATGGCCACCCCAGTAAGTACAACTACGTCATGTTTATAAAATAACACGTCAGTTTATGACGTCAATAACTAACCATCGTAATCTTGATAATGACTGTCTTATCTCTCGTAGAATACAAATACTGACGAGTGAGTACACGAAGCAGTGTATGTTTACTCCTATACTTGATACAACTAGTGTCTCTACATCTATGAGAGTCGTGTTGATGTAACAATTTACAAGTTCACTGGTTTATATTTACCTAGTACTTTTAAAGAACTGTGTAAGGTGCGCTTTAGATCATAAGGGCTGTCATAGAGTCACGTGGTGTGGTTTTGATTCGAGCATGTACCTGACAAGGAGTAGAGTCACCTGTCCAACCTCGCGGTTTTTATACTGATCCTCCGTTAGAAGGACGTTAAACCCCAGTTCATTCTCAGTGAGGAACTGTGCCATTTTCATTCCCCAGAGAGCCTTCTTTCTGTCTGTGTCCACCAGTCCTAACAAAATTTTCAACACGATAGAATCAAACAATGAAAGTTTTTAAATTTGGCCCACAGTCCAACATGCTGGTGTAAATAAGTGAGACCAGAGTATGTTACATATAAAGAATAGAAATGTGGCTGATTTATATTTAATTTAAATACAAAGATTAATTCATCTGTTTTTGTATATATTTAAAATGTCTTCTCTTCTCACATGTTTCAGTACTCGACCCTGTGTTTAAGTCAAGGAATTTTCCCCAAGCATCAACAAACTTCTGTACGCCACTGGTCAACCGAGCATCTCAAACTAGAGATTCAACGCATGCCCTTAATTTACAGATCTCTTTCTGTTATTTAGATTCGTCGATGATTATCATATCTAAGAAGAGAGATATTGTTGTAATAATATTTACAAGTAGAGACTAGTTGTTTATTTATTTTCTATTCCAGTTATCAACCGTTACCAACAATACCTACAACATGTATAATATACATGGTGATTGTCAAGCTGTACAGATTGGAACATCAAACACAATAAATGAAACTAGTAACCAGACCGACAGTGAGGATTGCACATCCGATATGGAAGATGTGAGATTCCAGATCAATCGGATAACAGAAGAGATGGCTGAAAAATTTGAAAGAAAAGATGAAGAAATAGCTGAATTAAAAGACAGGGTGGCTGACCTGGAAGCATTTAAGAAGAAAGTAGAACAATCGGAAGTCAAGACAAACACCAACACTAATACTAGACGTTATGTCAGGGATACGAGTAATGATATTACTCTAAAGTTGGTATATGGCCCGTAAGTAAATGTGTTCATAATAATATATATTTTGACAACTGTCAAATTTTACATACTGTTACAAGAGTCTTGAGTTTTAACTAATATCGAATGATGAAGTTTCTATATCACGTGACTTGAATAATAACCAACTAGAGGTGACTTGAATAATATACTGACTAGTGAAACAGTGGGATGTACTTGACAATATCCATAGTCAAAATAGTATTATATATTTAATAGTGTATTTAATAATAAGGGCTCAAGACAATGATTTTATCAATAATTTATCATTTAAATAATTTATAATACTCGTGTTTCTAAGGTTTACAAAGATGATTATTGATAATGATATATTAACCTGTATTTATATCTATGGTGGCTGATTGGTAAGGAAATAAAATAAAATGAAATGGGGTTTAACGTCCAGCTGTTCTGCTCCGGGAGTCACAGTGGCTAAGTGATTAAGGTGCTGGCTCGCTGGCCTTGACGTCGCGGGTTCGCCACCGGTGTTGGTCGACAAAGTTCATCAATATTTTCCGGCGTGGTTTCCCGTTGTCAGAGATGCAGGAAGGAGGGCCTGACAAGGACAGCTATCTAGTCGTTCGGATGGGACAAAAAACCGAGGTCCTGTGTATATATTGGCGCGCACGGAAAAGATCCCTTGGCAATTGGAATTCGGTATAAGAGTAGGCCGTAGCGCGGCTGTCCGGGTAAAATATTAACCTGTATTTATATCAGTTGATAATGATATAATATATTAACCTGTATTTATAGATGTAGATATAAAGATATGGGTTCTATAACTGTCAGTAAGAAAGTCAGTGCTAATGATTTAATGAAGTTGATAGAAGAGAAGAAGAATAAGAAGATCAGATGGATTGGTATAATAGGATATAGAGATGGTAGTTTGGGAGAGATCTACGACAGTAAAAACAACAAGAACGACTATAGCCTGGAACAACTTGGTGTTGTAGACCAGGACCAGGTTTGGTACTGGTGATAGTAAAATACAGTGATTATATTGATATGATGTATTGATGGGCTCCTTTATATTAAACAATGAGGTGTTTGGGGGGGGGGGGGGGTAGATATTACTTATAGTAAAATATAATGGTCGAACCAGAACGAGGTTAGGTATTATTGTCTCTTGATTAGGTTGTGAGGGTGGAATAAAGTAAAATGTTTGAGTGGTGTTGTGGGTGATGTGGTGTGGTGGTGTGGGTGCTAAGTTAGTGAAGAGATTTATCAACCACACCAGCACCCTAACCAAGTATCTTATACCCCCTTCGCCCCCCCCCCCCCCCCCAACCCCCATGATTGATATATTGAATCTTACTCTAAGTAATATCTTACCTGTCCCACCTGTTCCACCTGATTGATATATTGAATCTTACTCTAAGTAATATCTTACCTGTCTCACCTGTCCCACCTGATTGATATATTGAATCTTACTCTAAGTAATATCTAACATCCTAATATAAAACTAGCTTACTACTGTAAATAAAGCTGTAATTCAATAGTCACGATTATCAGGTGATATGTAGTCGTGATCATGTGATAACTAACTGACATGTATATAATATATAATTATATTAGTGAAACAATGTTTTATATTTTGTATTCTAATTTTGTTTCAATAAAATATTTTATAACTAAACTAATGTCGTTCTACTAATATTTCTATGGTGTCAGGAAATGAGATAGTTACCACTAACAGAGGGGGTCAGTCTGTGGTATCATGAAATACTGGATAACGCTGTCAACATGTGTCTAGTCATACGAATGGAACAAAAAAAGAGAATCTATCTTGAAGAAATAATTCTAGGAACAGTTGGCTGCAATGGGCAATTAATACAGGGTGACGTACACAATATGTTTCTAGTCATTCGAATGGGACGTGCAAAAAAAAAACCCCAATCAAATACAGATTACAGATGCTTTACGCACGACCAAAGGACTTTCTCGTTGATTAAAATAAATACGCAAATACAATCTGTTTCTAATCTAGATTAAATGAGTTTTTAGTGGTGACTTGAAAATTGTGAATCTTTAAGATCCTTTAATTTTTAATGGCGGAGGGGTTGAATGGACGAATGGTTAGTGCGTGCGCGTTGTATCAATAATGTTTGTCATATTGAGTCAACTGGCGTGGGTTCGATTCCCAGGTTGTACGCGATAAGGAGTAGGGTCGCCTGTCCAACCTCGTTGGTTTTCTCCGGGTCCTCCGGTTTCATCTTACTTCAAAAGACCCCTACGCGCAACCAAATTATTGAAAAAAAACTGAACCATGTTAGTCCCGAAATGACAATGTTTGTGTCAAGAGGACCTCTCTCTCTCTCTCTGGCAACAAATTCCAAACGTTTTAGTTTTTTTTTATTTATTTAATTCACAAAAATATTGCACACATACAAAATTAAAACAAAAAAAGTTACATCAGTTTAAAGTCACCATCTAATTAAATTTGATATTGATTTTATCATTAATTTCTATATAGGAATTCATTGAAAATAGTAATAAATATTTATGTCGATTACTGTGCTTTGACATATACTGATACAAGTAATTCATGTGTTTGGTTAGAAGTGTTTTAAATAATTTACACAAATCTACCCTGGTGGCTTCATTTAAAAACAAAATTCTCCGTTTGATAATAGCTAATCTAGCAAACGAGAAAATAAAAATTAAAAACAGATTATTGGCTTCATTTCGCACAGGATAACCAAACAGTAACCACTGACGAAAATCATCTAGTCCAAAACCCGAGGATTGGAAAAACACCTCTATAAAATCTAAAATATATTCATGCAAATTCTTAACAGATTTGCAATCTAGAATTATATGCTCTAAATTTTCAATAGAATCTTTATCACAGAATTTACAATAAGGATTATTTATTTTACCAATATTATGAAGCTTCTCATTAGTCCAAATGATGTTATGAACAATTCTATAATCATTATCTAACGATTCTGAACTTTTATTCATAGCAAAAACAGACTTCCATACCACTGGCCAGTTGATGTCGTACCCTCGGTGCTGCCAATAAGATTCGCAGACAGGGGGTTCAAAATACTTATCCCTTATAGACCGAAGACGTACTTAATTGATAGATAGCATAGATGTTATCATTCATAATCAGTTCAAAACTAATTCATAGCGTATAATATCACTCTTAGAGCGAATTATTTTAGTCCAGGACACTGGCAAACATTTAAGAATCAAATTATACTGATTTTCAATTTTCTCATATTTACAATCTGGTAACGATTCTCTAGCCATTTCAAATATAGCGTCAACTGATAAAAATCCTGGGATAAAAATATAACATAGATCAGAAATTTTGACTAAACCGGCTTCTATAAAATCACAGAAATATAAAGTTTTATCATCATATACAATCTGTGGATTATCAAATAATGGTTGATTGAGGATGTCATTATAATTATCAGCAACTGGCCTTTTACCATTATGAAAGTCATCCCACGAAATCAGCATAGATCTATAAAAAGATGGCAACACCTTTAAAGCAGGTTTAGAATAGTTAATAAATAATAATTCAAATGAACACAAATAATTTTTATAAAGTTTTAAAAAATAAGTCATAAAATATTTCCAGATAAAATTATCTGGACAGGATAAATATTTAGATAGCCAGTATAACCTAAATGCTTTCTGTTTTAAAATAACAGAATTCAGATTAAGACCCCCAACATCAGTACTACCTAAAATAGAAGTCCTCTTAATAAGGGGTGGTTTACCATTCCAAATAAAGGATCTAATAGATTTTTCAATACGATCCTGAGCCCATAGTGGAATTTCTACAACTCTTAATAGATACCATAAAGTTGATAGACACATGATGTTGACAATTAAAACTTTACCACGTAACTGAAGCCCTCTCTGCCTCCAGAGATTAAGTATTCTGCCAATTTTATTAACCTTGGAATCCCAATTTGATCGTTCACACATTGCTTCATCCGGACCCAAATACACACCGAGAAACTTTGCCGCTCCATGTAAAACTTTAACAGGTAAAGAGTCAGGATTTGAAACAGAGGCACTGCCCGCTAATAAGAGCTCAGATTTCTCGGCGTTAATTTTGGCTCCCGAAGCCGAACAATAAACTCCAACTGTGGATAGAGCTTCATTTACAGAATCTAAATTAGATAAAGACAAAGTTGTGTCATCAGCGTGTTGAAACACGGTTGAATTATAATCACATCCTGGAACAGCAAAACCCTTGATATTCTCATTAGACTTAATAAGTAAATTTAATGGAACTGAGGTTAATACATATAACAAGGCCGAAATTCCACATCCTTGGCGAACAGAGCGAAGGATAGGGAATGATAAAGAGACATGCCCGTTTACCTTTACCGAACTTCTAATGTCTTTATACAAGATTTTAATAGAATTGATAAATTTCTCACCAAATCCAAATTTATGTAATAAATTGAACATATAATCATGAGAAACCCTGTCAAATGCTTTCTCGGCATCTAATTTCAAAAGATACAGAGGAAGGTCTTCAAGTTCAGCAAAGGAAATAAGGTCACGTATGTTAAGAATATTGGTAGCAATATCCCTGCCTGGAACACAACAAGACTGATCAGTCGATACAAGATCAGCTAATACTGTTTTTAATCTAAGAGCTAGTGTCCTGAAGAAGATCTTGTTATCAACATTTAAGAGACTTATGGGTCGCCAATTACGTAATTCATCTTTATTACCACGCTTTTTGAAAAATAACGAAATTGTCCCTCTCTTCATGGAATTACTGAGCTCTCCCATCTCCTGTATATTAGAAATAACTTGAAAATAATATTTTCCTAAAATGTCCCAAAAATGCAAATAAAATTCGACAGTAATTCCGTCCGGACCGGGAGATTTCCCTTTCTTCATGCCCTTTAAAGAATTGTACAATTCATGAATGGAAATATCAGTCACAATATTTAGATTTAGCTTCATCTAACTGATCAGTAATTAAATCAAATAACTTATTTTGATTGGCCTCATTAATTGGTTCATTCGTATATAGTTTTGTATAAAATTTAACACATTCTTCAAGAATTTCAGGAGTTGAATTGACAAAAGAACCGTCAGATCTTTTCAAAGTCTTAACAATATTACTCTCCTGTTTAAATTTTTCTAAATTAAGAAAATAACGTGAGCATTTGTCTGTATCGAGGATGACGGGTTTTTGATCTAAGTATAGCCCCGTCACATATCTGTTTTTCATATTTTTCAAGTTTATTCTTTAGTTCATAAATTTGGGTATAGTCGTAATTTTTAACTGTATTGGCTTTAGTATAATGAAAATTTAATGCAGTCTGAATCTGCCAGAAATCGTCCTGCTCTTGTTTTCTCCTTTTCTGGGCATGTAAAATACTAAATTGTTTTATACGGTATTTCAAATTGTCCCACCATACTAATTGTTCAGTTTTATATAAAGGACAGGAAAGGGATTTACTAATTAATGATTTGACACCTTCACAATATTCATGTTCTTTAAGATACTTGTTGTTAAAGATCCACAATCCAGGCCCTTTATCATAGTTGTTAAAATTGAGAATTGCAGTAACGAAACTATGATCACTAGTTGTAGTATGGGATATAAAACAATAAGATATAAACATCAGAATCGATGACGTGGTAAATATATAGTCCAATCGAGACTGCTTCAACACACCTTGTACGAATTGTTGACGCGTAAAAGTATCTTTGCCTGGGTTTTTCCTTCGCCAAATGTCAAACAAATTATTAGTAAACGCAAAATCAAAGAGATCCTTGGTTGATCCACCATAAGCAGACATATTTTTAGATCGATCAGCAAACCCGTTCATGACGTCATTAAAATCACCACAAACAATAGAATTTTCAGATATTCTGCCACCAATTTGATCAAAGAACTCTCTCCTATCTTTTTGAATATTAGGGGCATAAATACATATAAGTTTGAAGGTACACTCATTAATTTCAACATCACATTCAAGATATCGACTATCATCGTCAGAGTAAACAAAATTACAGTTTTCAGAGTATTTTTTAGACACAAATAAAGCGCAGCCTTTAAAACCATGCAGACTATTTGAAAAATAAATATCACCACTCCAAAGATGTTTATAAGAATTAATAAAATTGTCATCCCAATGAGTTTCTTGAACGCACACAAAATCTAAACTTTTGCTCTGAAAATTAGCTATTAAATTACTGAATTTATTCACGTTCGTAAGTCCATTGACATTAATTGTAGCTACTTTAACCATTAAAATATAAAGTGAGAAAAAGGTTAACATGATTTTATCTTAAATATTTTATTTTGATTTATTCTTAAGGGCACTTTCAATCGAAACTTTCATACGATCACCCACAAGAGGATTTATGACCCCTTTCTTAATTTTACCAATTTTACTTTTTAAGGGATTATAAGCAACAGATTGCCTATTGCGCCGAGGATATGGTGACTTGCGTTCTGTTGAATCCCCAATAGACACCTGACTATAATAAGAATCTTCTATCTCAAATTCATTATCATCTTCAACCGTTTTATCAACATCAACTTCAGTTTCACTTATTGGCCTATCATCTAAGTGGCAAAAACCATTAGCAACTTGATCAACATCTGAATTTAATTTATCCCATATATTAATATTACCT